GTATATCGAGTATAATCATCTATAAAAGATACATAATAGGTTGACCCACCCTTTGTGGATACTGGTGCAGGACCCCACACATCAGAATGAATAATATCAAAAGGAGCAGTAGAGCAAGACATACTTTTATTGAAGGGTAAAGCAGAAAATTTTGCTAGTTTGCAACCACTACAATCAGAAATATCACAAGAGTTTAAATGACCCAAAACACCACTAGATGCTAAGAAATTCAACCGTGATACAGACACATGTCCCAAACGAGAATGCCAAAGATAAAACTCAGACAACAAAGGACTCAAACGAAAAGAAGATAAATCAATGTTGGAAGCAGCAACAACAGATACTTTGAGGACCTCCAAGACATATAGTTCCCCCACCCTACGGCCGATCCCAATCACCTTCTGGGCGTGTTGATCCTGTACAACACAGACATAATCAGAAAAGAACACCCAGTTACCAGACTTGCATAACTGACTGACTGAGGCAAGGTTCAAAGTAAGTTTGGGAATGTAATAAACATCAGGAAGAGTTATATGAGAAATGGAGACAGACCCAACACCCTCAACTAGCATAGATGTATCACAAGCAGACTTAACAGAAATAGATGACACTTGCGACAAAGAAGTAAATGATGACAAATGAGGAGTCATATGATGGGTTGCACCAGAATGTAAAATCCACAAAGATGAGGGAATACCTGAAGTGTCAGATGAAGAAGGACCAGAATGAGACATAGATGCAGACATGGCAGTGGGATTAGAAGCCAAATACTGTCTAAAGCTCTCAAACACCTTGGGATCCAATGCAGATGGTGGAATATGTCCAACAGATTCTGTGTCAACTGGTGGAACAGCAGCAACAGCAAACTGTGGAGGACGAGGGGTCCATGGAGGAGTACCAGAGGAACGCGACTGATACTTCTGTTGACCAGACCTATTTTTGTTGCCCTGACTGAGGTTGACCAGTTTTACCCTTATTGACTAACAATGGACACTGAGCTTTCCAATGATTCTTCTGTTTGCAGAATGCACACTCATCATAAGCGACTCTTGAAGTTTGTCGAGATTGACTGGAGGAGACAGCAAGCACATCAGGAGCGGGAGTAGGAGTAGAGGTTGCTTTAAACCCTTTATCTGCATGGGACTTGATACGAGTCTCTTCTGCAATTAACTCATGGACAACTGAATCAACTGAAGGAAGAGGAGAGCGATGAAGAATTGTTCCACGAAGACCTTCAAAATCAGAACGCAAGGCCATCAAGAACTGAACCAAGCGTTGTTCTTACCTCCTAGCAATGTAAGGCTCAAAATCTTTTAACTCTTTAGATTCAGTAAGAGCCAATTGATCCCAGAGATCAGACATAACAGCATAAAAATCTTGAATGCTCTGGTCATTCTGTTGAAGGGCACGAATATCATATTCCAATTGGTATTGTTTAGCAAAATTGGACTGAGTATACAGTCTCTCCAAGTGATTCCAAACTTCCTTTGATGTATCATACTTAGCCAACTGCATACCAATGGACTGAGTAACAGAGTTATTGATCCAAGTAATAACCTTGGAGTTATCAGTCTCCCAAGCATCAAGCAACATATCATAATTCTCAGTTTGAGGCACTGAGGGTTTGGCTTTAGTCCCAGTGACATAGCCCCATATATTCTTCCCACGAAGGAAGTTCTTCATAACGTAACTCCAATACGTATAATTCTTTCCATCCAAACGAGTACTGATTGACTGAAGGGAATCATCCTTTCCAGTCATGTTGATAGTGAATGAATAACCACAATGACAATATAATAATCTGAGAATGAAAGGAGTAACAAACCAGCGGAAGCAATCACTTGAATAACGAATCAACATCAATTATGAACCAACAGCAGCAACGAACCGACAGTAGCAACGAACCGACAACAACAACGAATCAACAGTAGCAACGAATCAACATATCAAAAAAAAAACGAATACCAGTGATATGTGACTCACCGCGGAGTTCGATCCGCGCCACAGATGACTGCTACAAAGACTTCTAACAACGTATCAAACCTCTGCTCTGATACCATGATAACATTGTCATATGATTATATCAAAGAGAAATTACAAGGGTTCTCAGAGAAAAGCATAAAGACTACAAGGAATAAAGCGGATATAAATACTAGCTAGACAGAAACCCTAATGGGCTAAAGACAAAAAGGGCCCATAAACAAGTGGGCTAATAATATAGACTAACAGTATATGTGACTTCAAATAGGAAAATAGGTCGATGGATTAGGGTGTGAATAATATTTGCATTGGTATAGATGGATGCATTCAAGCAACTAGCAATTGTCTCACATTTTGCTTCTGTAACTCCATACAATACTATCATCCCACTATTAAAAACCACGCCACTATCACATGCAACTCCTCATCTAGTGTCATATACAACTATTACCCTTTTCTTTTAAGTCTCCATACATACAAGCATTACCCTTTTAGTTTTAAACTCTCAGCCTTCGCGCACACAACCATATATCTATGACCATTACCATCTCAAAATGAAACATCATCACATACTAAATATTCTACAAACCGTTTTCTATGGTATATACAACTATATGACGATACCACGCTAAAAAATGTTTTTGCAACCCTTCACTCATTTGAGAAAGTTGGAAATATTGTAGGTTTCTATAAAGTATAGATAAGTTTGACAATTTTCCCCTTTAAAACCAACTTTTTTTGTTACAAAACAAAATGAAAAACCCTACAACTTTCCAAAATTTTATATATATTTTGTGCATTTAATAGAAGTTAACTTGCAAAACCAATAATCAAGCAAAATTTAAAAAGAAAAATAAAAAAGGGTTGTAAATGAAATTTTTTTTGGATTAAACTGAAAAAACATGAAAGTTTTGGATCTTTAGTGAAAGGGAAAATGACTTATATGGGTAACTATGTTTTAAAATCGTTCAAAAAATATCATTCAAGTTTGGTGTGTCCAAAAAACACCATCCAAGTAAAGCATTTGTACAAAAAACACCAACGAAATACATTTTTTGTTCAAATTTGACATTTGGTAACCGGCAATTACCGGTAAATAATAAGTAAAGGAAAAAAAACAATAGGAAAATGACTCAAAGAGGTAACTATGTTTCAAAATCGTTCAAAAAACACCATCCAAGTTTGGTATGTTCAAAAAACACCATCCATGTAAACTTTTTGTACAAAAAACACCAACAAACTATATGTTTTGTTCAAATATTACCCACCGGTAACTGGTTCTTATAGGTTAAATGATAACTTGGCTTAACTATTATGACATGGCATAATAATGATTGACAAAACAATAAATGATATATTCCTCCTTTAAAAACCGATTTAGGGTTTCTTCATGAACGAATGACTTATTCTTCCCCTATGATTGCTCGTCTTCTTCTAAAGTGATGATCTCGAACTCAAGTCCAAAACCCTAACTCTTAACTTAAGGCAAAAAGGGCTCCTTTACCCCTGCCTCAATGGACCTCCCTCCCCCTAAGGCCCAAATCCAAAAAAAGCCCAAAAAGGCATCCAAGCCCAACTACAAGGCATCTAAGGCCTAATATGGCCCAAGAACCCCCAACATGGCCTAGCCAAAAAATGACCTGCTATAATTAGGTGGGCCCGAGGCCTAACTTAAACAAGTCTGTGCATAGTCCCATCATATCCGGATGTCGAGCCAGTACGCCCGGCGTACTCCTAGCGTACGCCCAACGTACTCGGCTAGGGTCAAGAACCGCCAATCTTCCGAAGGCCATAACTTTTTCATTCTAAGTGTGATTTCGTCATTCTTTATATCTACGGGAGCTAATTTAGGCATCAGACAGCCATACCGAGGGTTATGGCCTTCGGAAGATTGGCGGTTCTTGAGCCTAACCGAGTACGATAGGCGTACGTAGGAGTACGCCGGGCGTACTTGCATAAAATCCAGATCGCAGAGACTTCAACATATGTTGGGCGTATGAATGGACTTGTTTAAGTTAGGCATCGGGCCCACCTGATTGTAGCATGTCATTTTTTGGGCTTAAGGCCATGTTGGGGGTTCTTGGGCCATATTAGGCCTTAGATGCCTTGTAGTTGGGCTTGGAAGCCTTTTTGGGCTTTTTATGGATTTGGGCCTTAGGGGGAGGGAGGCCCATTGAGGCAGGGGTAAAGGAGCCCTTTTTGCCTTAAGTTAAGAGTTAGGGTTTTGGACTTGAGTTCAAGATCATCACTTTAGAAGAAGAAGAGCAATCATAGGAGAAGAATAAGTCATTCGTTCATGAAGAAACCCTAAATCGGTTTTTAAAGGAGGAATATATCATTTATTGTTTTGTCAATCATTATTATGTCATGTCATAATAGTTAGGCCAAGTTATCATTTAACCTGTAAGAACCAATTACCGGTGGGTAATATTTGAACAAAACATATAGTTTGTTGGTGTTTTTTGTACAAAAAGTTTATTTGGATGGTGTTTTTTGAACATACCAAACTTGGATGGTGTTTTTTGAACGATTTTGAAACATAGTTACCTCTTTGAGTCATTTCCTATTAGTGAAACTAACCCTGAAGAATATCGGTATTCTTTTACAAATAATACACAAAAAGTTTCACTAATACTTTTAAAATGATAATATATATATATATATATATATATATATATATATATATATATATATATTATTTTCTGTATTTTAAAGTTTATCACCATATAAAAAGATAAGTTTTTGTCTTATTAATTAATATAAGATAATATATAGGTTAGGTATGTACATAAGTAAAGTGACACTCATGTATAAACCTTTATATTTATTAATGAAGTGTGAAAATAAGTAAAGTGACATTATAGACCTTCATATTAATTCGTTAATGGAGTGTGACGACGAGTTTATGTATTCCAAACACATGTTTAATTCTGGACCTTTTTAAAAGCATTAGTGATTTTTTAGTTTATTATTAGAAAAATATAAATAAATAACCAGAATTGTTTTTTTTTGGTTAATTCTTAACTTACTTTGTGAAAATGCACAGTTCTTCCTTGTGTAGTTGCTGCAGGTAGTTGAAGTGAGTACTTGCAAGCTTTAATAGGGAGTCATATGTGGAACATTCTTCTTCATAGTTGGAGAAATATAACCTTGTTTCTACCATATGCATACCTCGATGAAAAGGACTCCTCAACGCATGTCTCACCTGCCGTGCAAGATTACCTTCAAGTGTGTCTACAACATCTACAAGTTGAGCTTCTGTGAACACGAAAGCTTCATCTAAAATAGATTCTCCTCTTATTCTCAGTTGTGTAGATTCATAAAAACTTAACATGCCCCTCACATCAGCTGTAATATATTCCTTGAATTCACCTGAGCTATGGTCTTTGAACTTGTTAAACACATCTGTGCAATCATATATAGCAAACAGTTTTAACAAGAACAAATCAAACAATATTGTTTAAAATCATGTTACATATCAGTCACTAGAAGTAGCATATACCACAAGACAATTTATAACCATGTTGTCTGAAAACTTGGAAGTTTGTCGAAATTGTATAAAGATCAGCTTGATCATAATCTTCCATGTTCAGTTCCTTGAAAAGTTTGTCAAGTTGACATTCAATCTCTTCCCGAAACATATATCTCAAGCCAAGACGGTAGACAGAATTGATCAAACATAATTTCGCATTTGAATCCATGTTTACATTAATTATCAATCTTCTCAGCTCTTCTTTTGGTTCGTCAAAGGCTTTAGCATATGCTTCCAACTCCTACAAAAAGGAACCAAACGTAGTCAATTTTAACGAAAAGATACAATAAAAACCCCTTCTTACATGAGGACATGCATGGTTTGAGTCCGTAATGAATGGGAGGTACTCTTACCAAATAGTCAACAGTTAATGACAATAAACGATCATCCCAGATAGGAGGAGGGAAGTTGGCAACAGGACGCACTGGATCTATGTTAGTTTTGTTCTTTTCTTTCAGGGTAGTATTAGATTCATTTGCGGCCATTTCTTGAAGGTGTTGATGTAGTTTTGGTTGAACTTGTATGTATCATGACTGTAATCCTATGGGTATTTATAGACTATAACGCCAGTGGATTGCAGTTGAATATCTGAATAATCAAAAACAAACAGAGATTGTGTTTATGACTTTTCAATTTGGTACCACAAAATGTTGTGTGGTGGGCCATTTCCTATGTCCGATAGATACCTAGTTTTGTTCATATTCACTTTATCTTTCATAATTTAAAGTTATCATGTTTTTTTTCTTTTTCCCACGTCATTAGCATTTTGTCAAGGAAAACAAAAAACTTAAAGCATCATGTCTATCTTATCATAAAGAGTAAATTACACGAATGGTCCCTATGGTTTGGGGTAATTTACACGCTTGGTCCCTAACTTATTTTTTTAACTCGGAAGGTCCCTACTGTTTGTTTTTGTTACACACTTGGTCCCTACAGTTTGTTTTTGTTACACGTTTGGTCCCTATCTTACCTAAAAAATTATTATTTAAATAGGGAAAAATTATGAGGTAGGTAAGTTAAGGTGAGAGGGGCGGGGTTGGGTTGGGGGTGTGTTTTTTTAAATAAATTAGAAAATCAATGACAAAATAGTCTTTTTAGGTAAGACATGGACCAAACGCGTAAAAAAAACAAACAATAGGGACCTTTCGAGTTAAAAAATTAAGTTAGGGAGCAAATGTGCAAATTACACTAAACCATAGGGACCATTCATGTAATTTACTCTGTCATAAACGAGCCATTTTGAGTTAGAAATGGCATTCCAAAAGGAAATATATGTAATAATTGGTTATTATGGACTAAAAGTTTTTTAGCGCAAAAATAAAAATAAAAAATGAATGTGATATTCTAGAAATTACAATTTCAATCCATTTTTTGACTTGGATATACAAAAAAAATTATATTTTAACTTGTGGCGAGTTTGATCCCTCTAATTAATGGTGTTGGAAATGAGGTCTTATGTCATCGTAGAATACATTTATCCTCATTTTAGATTTGTCTTATTTTTTCGACAAAATTGCAAGAACGGTCCATGTGGTATGTCAAAATTCGTATGTTTGGGCTAAAAAAAGTTTGGACTCGCACCAATATTCCAATAGTTTGATTTTGTTGTGAGTTTGATCTGTTTCATAATTGGAAGTGTGTGAAATGACATTTTTGCCTTCTCTATTTGGTTTTCCCTTTACTTTTTATTAAATTTGTATTTTTCTGATTAATAATTAAACAAAAAAGAAAAGACATATAACCCTACCTCACCCAACTCCCTTTCTATGTTTCTCTCCCTCTCCCTCTAAACCATCGCCGGAAAAACTGGAACACTGTCGAAGTTGTCACCACTACCGAAGTTACCCCCGCCGAAGATTTGGAACATCGCCGACTTCGTCTTCTTCCTTATCCGAAGGCGCAGACGATACGTCATCCTCCATCCCAAATGACTCTGTGGCGGCGTTGAACTCGACCTCATCAACGATGACAACTTTCTCTCCCTCCTTATCTGACGACAGCATCGAGCTAAGAGTTTGTATTGGCAGACAAAACAGATTTGTTCACCATGCTCGTCGGCTTCATATCTGTTCAGATCTGTGGCTCGATTTTCAGATCTGTTCAGATATGTGGCTCGAGGATCTGTCATTTCTCTTTCTTCGTTGGTTTTCCCTTCTTCTCTCATATCGCTTCCCTCATCTTTACATTTGGGTTTTGTGTGTTCATCAGATTTTGTGTGTATGTATGTGTGTTCATTAGATTTCGTATGTATGTTCATCAGATTTCATGTGTGTGTGTTCATCAGATTGTGTGTGTGTTCATCTGATTTCGTGTGTGTGTGTGTTCATCAAATTTCGTGTGTGTGTGTTCATCAGATTGTGTGTGTGTGTGTTTATTTGATTTTGTGGGTGTGTGTGTTCATCTGATTTCGTGTGTATGTGTGTTTTCATCTGATCTGATTTTATGTGTGTGTTCATCATATCTGATTTTGTTTCTGTAATGATTTTTTGGTGGAGATGAAGTAGCAGAATAAGTTTAGGTGGAAATAGAGGTGGCAGACGGTGGTGGTGGCGTACTGTGGTGGTGGCGGATGGTAGTGGTGGTGGTGGAAGATATTCTTGAGCGTTCTTGAATCTATGAATATGTTCATCAAACACAAACCCGGAGAGAGAGAGAGAGAGAGAGAGAGATGTGGGTATTTTCTTTTTTCTTTTTCTTTTTTGATTTCTTTAATAAAATAGTTTAAAAAAAAATGGAAAATACCTAGGGCATATCCATCATTATAAAAATATAAAACACTTTAGATCAAACTATTTGACAACTGGTGCGAATCCAAACTTTTTTGGCCAAAACATGCGAGTTTTGATATACCACACAAACCATTCTTGCAAGTTTGTCTATTTTTTCATTATTATTTATGTAAATTACACGAATGGTCCTCTGATTTATAGTAATCTCATGTTTAGTCTTCAATTTTTTTAACTTGGACAATCCTTATTGTTTCGATTTCCGACAATTTCCCCTTAATGTTAATTGAAAATTTCCCATTAATGTTTTTTTTATTAATTTATTCAAAAATAAAGATATGATTTTTCACTACTTTTTTTAAACTCCGACAATCCTTATTGTTTCAATTTCGGTCCCTAATCAATATACAAATTTCAATTTCGGTTCGTGATCAATGTACAAAGACAATTTCCCCTAATTGTTTTTTTATTATTTTTATATTATTTTATATTTAATAATTTACCACCACCACCTGCCCCTTCTTTCTCCTCCCTCCTTCGTCACCACGTCCCCTTTGTTTCCCTACACCTATAGAGGAATGACTAGTAGAGCTGTTCACTATTTTGATAAAACCGAATTGTCCAAATGGACAATTTGGATTGGACTATTTGGTTCGGATATTCGGATTGGTTTTCAACAAAACCAAATTATTATTTTGGATTTCAGATTGGTTTTGGTTTATAAAATAAGAACCGAATAGTCCAAAAAAACCAAATAAATATTTATTATTTATTTATTTATAATATATATTTATAGTTATTTATTAATTTTGTAATTTATTTTTTCAAATAGGTTCAAAAACGTTTCACCCAATAAAAAAACATTAATATGCATTTTCTCTCAAAAGTTTTATATCTATAAAATACTTAACTATAATATATCTTCTTAGTAGTTGTTTATAAATTTCAAATCACAACTAAATATTTTGTTTTCGTTTCTTGTGTAAAATTGGGTAATATTATATTTATATATCGTTTTAAAATGTTTCAGTTTTTGAAAACCGAATTATAAAAATCGATCCAACAAAATTGTAATTGGATCGGATCGGATTGGATTTGAATTTAGTTTGGACTATTCGGATCTATGTTTTGAAAACTGAAATCAATTTGGATTCACTTGATTGGATCGGATCAAACCGATCCATCCGAACGAACACCCCTAATGACTAACCTGAATTTGATTATCCTTATGAATTTGATTAAAATTCTTGAAAAATATACATAATCAAATTTTCTTGAATTGTAAACCACATTTCCTACGAAAGACACTAGTTGTGAATCGATGGTGTCAAGTTGTTCATTTAACCCTCCACACTACTAAAAAACGTTAATAAAATATGGGTAAGAGGTATCCCATAAAAATTTGAATACAGTTTAAAATGATAGAGTCAAGATCAAATAAGAAGGAAATTTTTGGTAGGAAGGTAAGAAGTTTTTTTTCTACATACTTTTTTCGCGAACAAACAAAATGAATCATTAGATGATTCATTTGTAAGATGATTCACAAGAAAAAATTCTCAAAAAAACATCTCGATGATTCATTTATACAATGATTTTGTTGTTATTCACTAAAATTGTCATAAAAGTGAATTTTTTCTTAATTTACTTCAAAATGAATCATAAAGATATTTTTTTGGGAATTTTTTCTTGTGAATCATCTTACAAATGAATCATCTAGTGATTCATTTATTTTGTTCGTCAAAAAAATATATAGAAAAAAAACTTTTTACCTTCCTACCAAAAATTTCATTCTTACCGAATCTATATCCTAAAATGATATTCAAATACAACTAATTTTACTGAATTACGACAAACTTAATAAGAAACTGATTGAAATTGAATGCGTATTAAATTACATTAAAAAATGGCTAACTGTATTTAAGTACAACTAACTTTATTAAGAGAAATTGAATACGAAATTATAATACGAATTTTGTTCGGTTTCTCGCCACCACCGATATGAATCTCATTTTTTGGCCACTACAAGAAAAATCATGAATAGATATGAAAAAATTCTATTGAATCAAATCATGTAGCTATTTTGCTACAGAATATCTGAGTGACTTTTGGTAAATTTTTTGTTATAGAATTTCTACGAAATAAAATTTCATAGCAAATTTAGAACTAATTTAAGAAAAATGTTACGGAATCATAATCCGTAGTTAGTCTGCTACCGAATTTGCTACGAAATTAAAATACATAATTATTTTGCTACGAAAATTACTACGAATCTAAATTCCGTAGCTATATTGCTACATATTGGTAGCTATTTTGCTACGAAATGAAATTCCATAGCTATTATTCTATGGAATTTTCCTACAAAATTTATTTACATAGCTATTTTGTTACGGTGGAAAAATTAATAGCTCTTTTATTACAAAAATTTCCATGGAACTAAATTATGTAGCTACTTAGCTGTGGAATGAAACTTCATAGCTATTTTACCCTTAATATTTTTTTAAAAAAAATATATTTAGTTTTTTTTTTTAATTTTAATAAATGGCATATAAGGTAGGATAAAATAATTAAACTTGGGTGCAATAATTAACGATAAACGATGACAAGAACATCTATTTGTGCATGGAATTATATATCTCAATAGTCAATAATAATAGTATACGAAATTAGCAAGGTCCAAAGCTATATGTTTTGAGGCTTTGGACATTTTTACCCCTAAATCAAAATTTATTTACTCTGAGTCTTGTATCACCTATTTCTAAAACTCCTGGCCATATTATCTTCTCGCCCTTCCT